TTGGGTTGCTGCCACCGAATTGGTAGTTTTAAAAAAAATTGCAGTTTTTTGTCATTATTTTGAATATTACTATAGATATATGTAAACTGTAAGCAGCAATAATGTTCAGCAAAGTAAGATCTACAAAAAAGTTAATATGACCAAAATTGTCAATTGACCCCTTAAGGAGTTTTTGCCCTTTAAAGACAATTTTACACAATTTGTTCATCAAGTTTGCTAACATTTAAAAATCTTCTCCTCTGAAACTGCTGGGCCAAATACCTTCAATCTTCATCTAAATGTTCCTTAGGATATCTAGTTTATAAATTGTATCCGAAGTTTTAAGCCATCGACAAACATGGCCGCCATGGCTAAAAATAGAACATAGAGGTCAAATGCAGTTTTTGGCTTATATCTCCAAAACTAAAGCTTTTAGAGCAAATCTGACATGGGTAAAATTGTTCATTTGGTCAACATCTATCAGCCCTGAAATTTTCAGACAAACCAAACAACCCATTGTTGGTTGCTGCCACTAAGTTGGTAGTTTTGAGGAAATTTTACAGTTTTTTGTTATTATCTTGAACATTATTATAGATAGATATAAACTGTAAACAGCAATAATGTTCAGCAAAGGAAGATCTACAGAAAAGTTAAATGACCAAATGTGTCAATTGACCCCTAAAGGAGTTATTGCCCTTTAAAGACAATTTTACGAAATGTGTTCATCAAGTTTGCTAACATTTAAAAATCTTCTCTTCTGAAACTATTGTGCCTAATACTTCTTAACTTTGAATGAATGTTCCTTTAGGAATCTAGTTTATGAATTGTATCCGAAATTTTGATCCATTAACAAACATGGCCGCCATGGCTAAAAATAGAACATAGGGGTGAAATGCAGTTTTTGGCTTATATCTCAGAAACTAAAGCATTTAGAGCAAATCTGACATGAGGTTAAAATGTTTAAAAGGTCAAGATCTATCAGCCCTGAAATTTTCAGACACACCGAACAACCCATTGTTGGGTTGCTGCCACTAAATTGGTTGTTTTAAGGAAATTTTGCAGTTTTTTGTTATTATCTTGAATATTATTGAAGATAAAGATAAACTGTAAACAGCAAAAATGTTTAGCAAAGTAAGATCTACAAAAAAGTTTATATGACCAAAATTTTCAATTGACCCCTTAAGGAGTTATTGCCCTTTAAGGACAATTTTACACAAGTTATTTTATGTTTTTTAACTTTAAAAATCTTCTCAAACGAATCTAGTATAAATTTTGTATTTCATTTCCTTGTATGTCAAGAAACATAGACACTATGGCTAAAATGGAACATATGGGTAAAAAGCAAAAATAATCATTGATGAAAGATTTAAGCAAAAAAGATAACAGATGAGCGATTCAGGCTCTTGAGAGCCTCTTGTTTATCATCTTACCATTTTTACTTAAGGAGTGAACAAAATCCAGATATATGATGTTTCAAATCAACAGAGAAGTCATACATGGTGATTTAGGAGGAATCATTGGATTGCCAACTCTATTTATAGTTAATCTGACTGAAAGAAACAGTTTAAGCACCAAATCATGAAAAATGATATTAAAATCCATTCCACATTTTACAGCATGCCTTACATTACTTTAAGCATTTCCAGATTATGAAGGCAACACAACAAGATTCTTTAGATGGCATTTAACTATTATTCTAAAATCTTTTTTACAAAACATGTACTAGAATATATAGATCTCTAAGTTGACTGTTTGTCTATTTCTCATGTATGCATTAAGTTAAATTAGGTCCCCTTACATAATCATTTTACCTTTATTGTGCTTTTCATTGTCAGAAATCAAAACAATTAATGACATTTGCATGGAAATTCGAAAATGAATAAACTATTTAATCTTGCTGATAAACAATCATAATTACATTCTTTGTCAAAAAAAATGTCTTGTTAGTGTAAAGAAACCCCTATTGCTATCTCTATTTCAGCCAAATATGAGGGCTAATTAATAAATGAATAAGTAAGGACCCCTTAACCACTTGCTGGTTCCAAAAAAGCTCATACTGGTGTCATGTTACCACAGAACTACAAATTAAACCTAAAGAAAACTAGTAAAGCTGTACTTATGTGGAAAAAAATAAGAAATTATACAAGTTATTTATTTCGGTGAAAATAATAGGATGTACAGGCAAATAAAATATGTCACGTCTCAAATTCCAGTGGTTGCACATGTGTCAGACACTGTGAAAAGTTAAAGCGAGCATTTATAATTAAAAATGTATTGCAAGTTACATAAAAATAATGAAGTTCTACTTTCTAGGTAAATTTTTACTTTATTACCCACAGATCAAGCAAAATTTGCTGAATCAGCAATTTTCACTCCCAGGGGTGGAATTTAAGGGCTGTTTTTATCATAGTTGCCCTTAATCAACTTTTTATTGATAAACTTACAAATTGCATAGGTAAAAAAAAATCCTTCATTGATTTAGTGTAAACATGTATATACCCCTTAACCAAGTAATGTAAGGCATGCTGTAAAATGTGGAATGGACTTTAATATCATTTTTCATGATTTGGTGCTTAAACTGTTTCTTTCAGTCAACTATAAATAGAGTTGGCAATCCAATAATTCCTCCTAAATAACCATGTTTGACTTCTCTGTTGATTTGAAACATCATATATTAGGATTTTGTTCTCTCCTTAAGTAAAAATGGTAAGATGATAAAAAAGTGAAAATCTGCCAGCTGGGGTAGGGGTGTAATCTTTCATTTTTTTTTTGTAAGAAATAAGTGCAGACTAGTATTCTTTATTGTAATATGTTACATAGTAAGAAGGCTATGCATCATAGGTGTCATGACTGATTTCAAGTTTGAAATGTCCAGATTATGAAGGCAACACAACAAGATTCTTTAGATCTTTTTAAATTGCCTCCCCTGTATAAACTTGCGGACTGAATTTTCTACACATTTTACCTCTGAGCCGACAGTCTGAATATATATATCTTCTAGTAAATATATATATATATATAGGATGGGACATGGGATTGTAACTTAATGTTCAGATTGATACATACATTAAAAAAATGTAATAAATTAAGTTTTACTAGAAATTCATCGCAAGACTATATTGTACTTAGTGGTACTACATCTAACAAAAATTGAAACTTTATAAAACAGCAAATAATCAACTGCATGTAATTAATCGACTTTTTCTATAATTCTTTTGTTTTAAGGTAGATCATCGGTATATATTTCCTCAGATAGAATTTTCTTAAACTTTGCCAAAATGAAGATTTTACTATGCTTTTTTTTTTTAAATATAATAAAAAGTATGGGTCACCGTGCTATTTTTCAAGCTATGAGTCGTTCAAAATGGCCCAAATTTGCTTAGATTGTTCTTGAAAAAACACATTTGTATGCATTAAAGAAATCTATGAGATAGAGAAGATAGGTTTTATAATATGCTTTCAGAAAATAAAAAAGAAAAAATTGTGTCACCGAACTTGTTTTCTTGCTACAAGTAAAAAAATTAAGATTTCCCCATCAGTCCAGTATAATTTTTTTTACTAAAAGAGTTATCTCCCCTTAAATGGCTCAGTTAAAATAATTGATTCTAAAAAACACAATCATTTGGTTTTTGTTTAAACATTTGAATAATGCAATAAATCACTATTTTTTCTTTATATAAATAAATAGTTTAACCAATAAATTGCAAATCTGTCTCCAAATTTGCAGATTTAGGCAAAAAAACTAGACCGACTGTGTACTGCGATTGTATAATCCAAGATGGCGGTATACCATGGATCTACCTTAATAGACTTACTAAGTATTTAAACATTTTGTCGCTAAATTTGGCTTCTTGTCGCTAAATTTTTCTTCTTGTCGCTAATTTATTCTTCCTGTCGCTTCTTGACGCTTTTATGTCGCTTATTGTTGTTAATTAGTGAAACCGACTTTAACCCTTTCCTCCATAATGACGCCTTTTGACGCCTCCCCCTTTACTCCATAATGACGCCTTTTGACGCCTCTGTTAACAACCTCAGTTGAAACGCTTTGTCCTCGAGTAATCCGTGTCAAAATTTATCAAATTTGTATCCAAAATAAGAAGTATAAACTTGTGAATAACTGGTATAAATTTTCTTGATGAAATAATTTTTTGTCAACGTGAATTATAATTTTAAACTTGTTGTTGTTTTCTTTTTTTTAACGCCGTCGCCATTTTGTCCAACTTTTTGTTGACAACTTTTCAAAGCAGCTGAAATTGCATTAATTACGATTTTTGTCATGAGTTATTGATTACAACTGTTGATTGAATGCCTTATCTTCATTTTGTACGATACAGTTTCGAGTTAAATGACTTTTGGTAAGATTTTTAAAATTTTTAAAATGATGGAAGATCAAGTCGATGTCATTTCCCAGTTTAGAGCAGAAGAAAATTGCAATAAAATACTTTGCATTACACAATTGTGTTTAAAATAGCATTTGCAATATCAGAAATTCGATTAAGTATTGAAAGATATGCAGTCGATGCCATACCACTCTTTTTCCCCGACACATTTTGAACAAGAAGGTGATACCGTGTAAAATGTAAACATGTGAATTCTTTGGGGAATCCCTTTTCCGACTTCCGGCGATTACGCATCAACGAGTCATAAAGTGGGCGGGAACACATAACTTTTATTAACCAGAAAAAAACATTTCATTGCAATGTTTTAAAGAAATATTTCAAGAAAAAGGAATGATTTTTAAACCTCAATCATTTTCTTAATAAATTGAACGTAAATAACTAGTTTTTCAACTTTTTCTGATCGAACTTCTAAACCCCGCCCACGGCTCGGAATTCATAATATAGTACCGTACTTGCAGTGCTGTTTTCTCGTAAAAAAGACGATACCCTTTTATCCTCGTACTTTATTTTAATAAATACATCTATACAGTATTCCGTGAACTTCTATGTTCATGAAATATCATTTTGCAAAAAAAAAATAAACAGCTTTTACATTTGTGTACTTGGAAATTCATTTTGGATAATAAAACATGGCCGACTGAAGAAATGGAGATTTTCCTTTCTTCCCAATCTTCGCAATTTTTGGGGTTCGGGTTATCAGATTTGCAGGACGAAAATGACAGTCCAGGTTCAGTTAGCCCTCCTAGTTCAGTGAGAACATCAGATTTATCATTTGATGAAGAATCTGAAGTAGCTTCAGACCTTTCTGACAGAAACCCTGATTCTGATATTGAGGAAGACGATGATGAATTGCCGGACAGTGATGGTGAGTTTGAATCACAGCTGAGTGAAATTCCGAGCAGCCAACTCACTAGTGTATCTGATGATGACTTTTGGTCTGAACAGTTGGAGGATATTGAAATACCAGATTTCAATGAAGTGACAGGTCCTGTGCACATGTTGCCATTGAACGCACAAGCTGTTGATTTTTTTCAGTTGTTTTTTGAAGAACGATTTTTTCAACACCTATCAGAGCAAACAAACTTGTATGCTGAACAGACTTCAGAAAATGACCAGCATTGGGAAGAGGTAAACAAAATGTTATCATAAATATTGAGATTGGTGTATGTTTCATGTCTTATAAATGAAACTGTCCTCCATCAATCTCAACTTTTTCTTTAAAATCTTCTATGGACCTTGGAAAAAGAGATGGGGAGTAATGAAGATGTCTATTTTAAAGACAGAAAGAGGGTTGGAGGGTTATGTTGATAATGTTTGAGGGAAGTGCTGGTTTTATAAGGGGTAAAATAATGTACACATATCCAAAACACGGGCTGATCCAGCCATTTATAAAAGGGGGGGGGTCCAACTATATGTCCCTATTCAAATGCATTGATCGTAAAAAAAAAAAAGGAGTTACAAACCCCCCCTTGCGGATTCGCCACTGCAAATGCCTAACAGAATTTGTTAAAATCTTGCATAATCTTGCTATCAAAAATGTACTTCTGCGCTTTTCATAGGCAGATCAAGGGGTGGGCCCGGGCTCTCCCTTTTGTGGGAAAAAATTGGTTGATTAATAGGGAATCACTGAAGCATGACCCCCTTAGGTCAGTCAGTGGGCCCCCACCCCTTATGAAAAGCCACCCCTTATGAAAAGTATTGGATCCGCCACTGCTTTCAATTTCATTTCTTCATCCGAATTTATTTTTTTTCCGTAATGAGTTTATTTTTTTTTAACTTTTATATGGCAAAGATATATATCCTACAATGTAAATGCACACCATTGTACACATTCACTACATGTTCTCTATCTCTTCTCTGTATTATTTGATTATGCTCATAGATTTTCATCCAAACAACGCAACTATGTACCTCCTTTTCATTTTTTGTTCTACCTATGCAAGTCATTGTATTCAACATGTTTAATGCCTGGGATTGGGCTGCATATTGATACATGTATTTAAGTCCCAAGTTTGGCACATCATCTTTTGAGCTTGGCTTACAGGACTTTCAGTTTTGAAATTTATTTATATTGAATACCAGGACAAACAAAGTTTATTTCAAATATTAAATACATAATAACTGGATTATTGAACGCACTCAATACCTAAATGCCACAGCTCTTTCTTGCAATAAACCTGAGTATTAATTCTAATTTAACAGGTTACTACTGATGAAATCAAAGCATTCATTGGAATCAACATATTGATGGGGGTGATGCAGTTGGCATCATACAGACTGTACTGGAGTTCAGATCCATTCTTAGGAAACACTGGTATAAGAAGTGTGATGACAGAAAACAGATTCTCAAAACTATATCAGTATATTCATGTCAATAACAATCAAACAGCAGTACCAAGGGACACTGAAGGTTTCGACAAACTACATAAAGTTAGACCAATCATCAACATGGTAGATCATACTTCCAAATACCATTACAAACCAAAACAGAATCAAACAGTGGATGAAGCAATGGTGAAATACAAGGGAAGATTTTCAATTAAACAGTACATGCCAGGTAATTTTATTATTTGTACACAATTGAATACAATCCTAATTCTTCTTTTACATTGGAAGTCTAAGTAAAATTGAGAATGGGGAATGTGTCAAAGAGACAACAACCCGACCTAAGAGCAGAAAAAAATGTTTTTCTATCTGGTTGCATTTCATTCCTTTATTTTCGACTTTTGAGTTTGAATATCCCTGTGGTATCTTTCCCCTCTCTTTCACTTGTAAATATATTGTCATTTGATTTTATTTCTTCTAATTTCAATATAAACAAACTATTGACATTCTAAGATGACTGTCGCCTTTTTCATTTGAAACATCTGCAAAATCATATTTTAGTTAGATCTCTCAACATTCTTGAAAACAAATATCAATTTTTGGCCTTTATAGCTGAATATGCGGTATAGTTTTGCTCATTGTTGAAGGCAGAACGGTGACCTATAGTTGTTAACATGTATGTCATTTGGTCCAAGGTGGAGAGTTGTCTCATTGGCAATTATACCACATCTTCTTATTTTAACATATTTTCTTTAGAGACCTGAAAAAAAAAGAAATAGAATGTGAAATGATGATTTTTTTTGTCAGGGAAACCAATCAAAAGAGGTATGAAAGTTTGGATGCGGGCTGATTCAACATCTGGATACTGTCATCAATTCAATGTATACATGGGCAAGGACGATCCAAACAAAGGGCCTAAACTAAGGGAAAAAGTGGTGAAACTGCTATGCAAGGACCTCAAATGGAAAGGACACCATATATATATGGATAGGTAATTTCTTAATTACATTAAAATAGGAAAAACAATAATGAATCTAAAGTGTATATTAATTACACCTTGAAATATGCAAATTAACAGAATACTGACCATGAGTATTGTTCTGATGCCTACAATGAGATGTTGTGAATATTCGTCAAATGTCAAAAACAATTAATAAAATATGAAAAAACCTAGATAGTAAATAAACAAGGAGATAAACATGGGCTTAAAAAAAATACAAGCAAAATTATGAATAGAACAGGGATTTGGGATAGAGGTTTTAAAACAAATTTTTAATCTCTTGTGTTATAGTTGATCGACCTGATTTTTGGAAAAGATAATTCATAGAAACAAAAAATATACTTTTTTCATATTTATTTTCAGATACTTTACATCAGTACCATTGTTTAGATGTTTAGAAAGAAATGGCATTTATGGATGTGGTACAATAAAATGCACAGCAGTTGGTCTTCCAGAAGACATAACAGATCCCCCCAGGATGGCGCGAGGGGAGAGTATTGCCCGCCAGAATGGCAATCTGGTAGCAACTGTGTGGCAAGATAAGAAAAAAGTAAGTAAACAGAAAATAATATGTAGAAAAAATGAAAGGATATGGAGTAAATGTACATGGGACAAAATCGCACACAATACATTGAAAACATAGAAAATTATCATTGAACAGGTCTTTTATTCCTGTTCTTCATCTTGACAGTTGATGTAGGGTCTTTTAACAATGAACCAATCATTCATACCCTACAACAAGGTCAAGACGGCCCCTAGCGTGGACTTAAGCGGTACTATTGATGTAAATGTTTTAGTGACATATGAGGAAAATTTATCAATAAAATGATTTAAATAAAATAAGAATTCATTTAAATCTAACTTATTTTACAGATCATAGTAATGGGTTTTTAGTTTCATATCTATTTGTGAAATAGGAAAATGAACCTAAAAAAAACCTTTTTGACAGATAAGATTAAAAAAATGACATATTTATTTACAGGATTTGTTGCTTAAAGTTAAAGGTCTTGTTGTCATTTAAAAATGAAGAACAGCAATTAAGAATTGTTTTCCAGTTACTTGGTCTGTTATTGTACTTTATTGATGCTATTCTGAACAATTAACAAACTTCTTTTCAGGTGCATTTCCTGTCAACCAACTCTAATCCAACAGGTGAAGGCTCCACCTTTAGAAGACTGAAAAATGGCACTAGGATTGAAATAAACAGTTTCCCCCCTGTTGAAGGTTATCACAATTACATGGGAGGTGTAGACAGAAACAATCAGCTCCGTGCTAAAACACCTGTAGGCAGACCAGCAAAGAAATGGTGGAAATATTTGTTTTTTTACATTATTAACTTATGCATTACTAATGCGTTCATTGTTATGAATGAATCTGTTGGTTATCAACCAAGAAAGAAGCGCTATTCCTTGTTGGATTTTCGCATCGACATTGCCAAGCAACTGATTGGGAATTTCACCAAAAGGAACAGGAGAATCGTTAATCAACAACCTAACAATAACCATGTTAGTGTTCGTTTGAACAGGACAAAAAGAAGATGCAAATGGTGCACCAAGCAGGGAGAAAAGAAACGAAAAGAAACTGTATATGGCTGCTCGAACTGTAACATTCATTTATGCAGAGAATCCTGCTTTGAACACTATCATCAGCAACATGGACTGCCATTTGCCATTTGACTTTGAGCATTAAAATATTGGATTACAAAACAAATTTATATTGAATTCATTTATTCTATTGTGCTATTTCATGGCAGTCAAATTTAATTGGTGGAGTAAGCCAGAGTGCCAAAAGAGAACCACCAGAAATACTGACAATCCTAGTCAATTAAGATTGGAGTCGAGCGCACCTGCCTCCTGCCTGATTTAAACTCACAACCTCAGTGTTGATAAGCTAGTGTTACAGATGTTCAACTACTTAGACCACTAAGCCACTGTTGCCCTTTTTTTTTTTGTAGAAGCTTATTTTTTAAAGACATCATTTGGTTGCAAGAAGTAAAGTTTTTCCAGTGAATGAAATGATACATTTTTTTGAAAATGGTTTTTTTTATGGACTGTTGTTCAATTTGCATATTATAAAGAAAATTTCCTTTGGTTGCTCTGGATGGAAACTGTTGCTAGGGAAACATATTATGATAAAACATCCCTTTATGTTTCCTATTTACATAATATAAGAGTCAACAAACATGAATTTTTCTAATTTTTTTTTTAATTTCATCACAATTTACTTTGTTGCTAGGGAAATAAATCTGTTGCTATGGAAAAAAATTGGGACGTTTTCACATAAAAAAAGGGTAAACATTCAGCTTATTCATAGACAGTCAAACATATCATGGTTTCCATAAGATGTAACTGCTGTTACAAGTGGCTACCCTAATTTTAGCGTATTTTCGTATTTATATCTATAAAATTGTTACCATGGCAACAAAATATATGAAAAAAAATTACCAGAAAATAAAGTTCTTATTTTGATATATAACTGACCAAAATTATATATATTTAACTGGTCTATTAAAGGCACAGTCAATATTTCATTAAAGTAAGCTTATTTTCAACATTTTATTGAAAAATCCTATGCGAAACAGGTATGTAAAAAAAAAAAAATTCATGGAGGAAAGGGTTAAGAGATAGATGGGGTCGAAATTTTAAACATTTACTCACTTTTTTTTTTGACATTTTTATCCTTTGGAAAGAAATTCCTAATGTTTTTGTTTCAAAAGATAAACACACGCGGATCCTTGTAAAAACATTAGGAAAATCTTCTTTATGACATAAGTATGCTCTAAATTTGTATAACAATTTTTTGGAAATAATTATTTTTTATCAAAGATTCATAATTTTAGAAAGAAAAAAAACGGCATTTTTTGCTGTACATGTATATTTATCTTATTTAAAAACATTTCATTCGTAACTTTTTCATAAAAATGGTACAAATTATCTTCATACGTAATCAAACCTAATGTCATTTAAAAAAAGAGGGGTCCATGAACTCGGTTTCAAGCTAAAACAGTCTACATGATAAAAACCAGTCCAAAAATGCACCTTTTCCCAATAAGTCACTGTTTGACGTAGCAAAAATAAAACTTTACGTTAGCAACGTCATTACCTCCCCTGTAACTGTATCGTATGCCCTTATTAAGTTCTCCCAACATTATTTTTCTTGTGCTACTGTAGTGCCAAAATTCAAATGATTGATTCGTTCTGATTTTTAATAAACAGTCAGATCCTAGCTATGCCTGCCCTTCAAATTTTAATTTTTTTAAATTGTCTACACACATGACATTGGTATATGTGTACCACAAGTTTGCAGCAAATCTAATTTGCATATTTATCAATTTCATGTTTGCTGCAAGCTTGCCGCAACCTTCATTTGCATGGTAAAATGTTTGTGGCAAGTTTGCAGCAAATGTTTGCTGCAAATGTTTGCCACAAGGCTTTTTTTCGGTAAGGGTACCCGTAGTCAGAACCAAGATAAACTGGCCATCCTCTGTTTGATACTTCGCCACTTGTGTAGATAAGAGCGAAACAACATCAGGGGTCCAGTTTAGAACCAAGACACACGCGTTACATTCGTCACAACTCGGCCGATTCCGTACCTCCATCTTACATAGATAGATGGAGAGAAGCGCAGTCACACGAGGTTTGTCGATTGAAGCTAAAACCTTTCGTTAATTTGTATAACTCAGACTTGTTTAGGTCAAGTGGTCTGTCGTTCAAATTTTAAAGAAACATTGCTAAATTCAGCAACTTAAGTCATTTACTTGACATTCTAAATGTTTATGAGTATGTTATTTTTAAACTGCTTTGGGGAGAAGCAGCTAATACCAATTTTAACGTCTTTGGTTTTACCCGGCCGGGGTTCGAACCCACAACCTTCCGCACATTGTAAAACAAAAGAGATATTAATAACACTTTTTGTCGGTCAGTTCAATACATTGGAAACGTAAATCGACGACTGTGAAAACCGTCCGGTCAACTTTTTATGCTCAAACCACAATTTTTTTAAAAAATTTATTTTTAGATTTTCATTAATATGAGTTTTATGAGTATCTTAAAGCCTTAAGGTCTCCAAATATAAAAAAAATGATCATGCAGATAACAAAAAAGTTTATATGATCATTTATATCTCGTCTGGTCATCATCCGGTCAATCGTCCTGTCATTAGTGTTATCCAAATTATAGAAATTTGGTTTTGGTGCATAGAATTATGTATTTTGTAAAGTTATTAACAAAAAGGAAACTTGGTGACTAATACTGAGCATGACCTGTTTAAAGAACAGTGCAGTTAAGAAAAGGGTGAAACAGCGCAAATGCTAAAACGTTACAATAAGTTTTGCATTTTGTAAAGTAACTTGAATGTTCTGTGGTATATTTAAGTAGTTTTATTGTATTTTGTGAAATTCTGTGGTATATTTTGGGTGCTCTGTGGTATTCTGTGGTGTTGTGTGGTAAAAAGACGCTCCAAATGAATAACCTCTGATGCACCTGTTTTATAATTATACTTGGACCTTGATGTGCTGGTTAACAATTTTGATCGCAGTCATCAAAGAAATGCGAAATTTTACTTTGTACAATATTTGCAATATATTTCATATATTAGATTTTTTTCTAAATAAAGATAAATAGAGAATATCATATGGCTTTTTCAATATCACATCCGTTTCAACCCGAGACACCAATATAATCCCAAGAGCTCTGCTCGAGGGATTATATTGGTTTAGGGTTGATACGGTGTGTGATATTGAAAAAGCCATATCATATACACTTTATTATATACATGTACCTCACGTAAATGTTTTTTATGTGACATGACGTCATACATATAAGGGGATTTGAAATGACGTCATACAGTTAGAGGTTTGACATGACGTCATACAGGTTAGGGGTTTGATAAAGCCTTTGCAACAGTGACTGCAATCGATGACGTGACGTCATGCAGATTAAAGGTGTGATAAAGCCTTTGCAACCGTGCTGATATCGATATCATCACGGGTGGCTGATACAGCACGCTTGCCAATGACTGTATTACACATACAATTTATCTGTATTTACTACTAAGTATATAATAAACCAAAATATTGTGAGGTAATATTTGGTTTGGTTATAATCAACTTGATACCGTACCAAAAGAAACACAATCAAAGTCTGGTTTATTTTGTTTTATTTTTCATGGTGAAGCGTTTTTATTTTCGGATGATGGAAAATAAAACTATTTTTATCCGAAATTTGCTATAATCTCAACCAAGTTATTTTGCTCACCTGTTGAAAAATCGGCACCCTACTAAAAAGGAGGTTATATACATGTATGCTTACTCTTCAGGAGCATTAGAGTTCACTCCAGGTGTTATTGATGAAGTTCGTGTTGCTCAGTCTTTAGTCTTTTAGGGAGCTGCCATTTGATTTTTAGGGGGGGGGGGGTGGGGGGGGGGGGGGGGGCTAGGATGAAAAATTTTGCCCTGCATTTTTTTTTTGGTTGTAATCTCTGTTCTGCCTTTTTATTTTTCACTTTATTCGGTCCTGCCTTTTTTTTTTTTTTAGTTTATCCTGACTTTTTTTAACATAAATTGTCATCCTACCTTTTTTTTTGCAAAGTGTCTCATCCTGCCTTTTTTTTTTTACTCAAAACTCCTGTCCTGCCTATTTTTTTCAAATTTCATCCTAGCCCCCCATAAAAATGGTAGCTCCCTTATGCTGTGTTTTGTAAACTGGTTTGTCTATTAGTCGTTTATGTTTTAAGGATGTTCGCTCCTCTTGTTTTTGAAATTTTGCCACATTTTCGAAATCCTCTGGTTTTATCCATGTTTTGCCATTAAATAATTTTGTCCACTAACCCCTACTTTTCTTTTCATAATTTGATTTCATATAGTTTTAAAAGCAATATTTAAAAAATCTTATAAAATCCTTGTTATTTTTTTATAGTTTTTAAAAGAGAATAGCGGACAATGTTAAAAGTATGAAAAATCTAGAGAGAATCATTTCCCGCCAAATTTGGCTTATATCTAAAAAACAAGCTGTTGTATTGTGGTATACCATTGTCTGTTCATCTCATCTGTCTGTCCATCCGTCCGTCCGTCCGTCAATAGCTCAAAAACGCTTTATACCAATTTTCATGAAACTTTGGCAAATTGTTTATAATCTATTGACGTAAGCTTTCTTTTGATTCCGATAAAATTTAGATTTTCCGTTTCCGAATTTTGGA